GCCGAAACATAGCACTGTATCGCATATGAGAATATACAAGAACGCCTCCGTCGATAATAACCGCAGTGAGGTAGCCTTTGCGTGCTTCGAAACTTGACCTCGTTTTCCCATATGTGCGAGCGGAGCTCCCCCCGCCCCCCCCCCCCCCCCCCCATTTGTTCCCGTTTGATCTTCACCTTACTTCCTCTTCCTCTCCTCCTGGACTTCGTACCTCTAATAGATGCCTCCAATCGTCAAATAATGTATGCGTTCTTCGCCGGAAAAAAACATAGACAGAAAACAGTGTATGTACACAATGACCTACGCTGTTGAGCGCGCTAAAGCGAGCAAGGCTGGAAACTGAGAAGCTGCAAGAAATTAAAAAGTAGCACGCACTGTCGCCATCAAAAATATAGGAGGTAATTCAATTCACTAGGTTTTCGCTATTCTAGCAATTCGTTTGACGCCCCAAGTGCGGAAGCAGTTTGCTGAAGAACATGGCTTCCAGGACTATCAGTACTGTCGAGGGGTCATCGTCCAGTTAGGATGTTAATATCTTGTTACCCTCTGGCCTTCCTCTTTGCCTCTTTCCCGTCACGCACAGTCGAGACCTTTTTTATTTCGGTGTGTCAAGTGTACGATATGTATATCCGATCACACTATACATAGGTTGCACATACGTCACATCCGGTAACAGGACTGAGAACCACCATGTTTGTCAACATAAGCAGCTCTTCAGCTGCCTAGAAGCGTAGTCGGGAGCTTTGCCGCGGTGACATCTCGTCTCCGGTCGCACTTCCGGCTTTACCAAGACTACTAGGGCAGTTTTTGATGCAAAATAGTGCCCACCGTAGTGGTCTAGTGGCTAAGGTACTCGGCTGCTGACCCGCAGGTCGCGGAAACGAATCCGGGCCGCCGGCTGCATTTCCGGAGGAGGCGCAAATGCTTGGACCCGTGTGCTTAGATTTAGGCGCACGTTTAAGAACCCCAGATGGTCGGAATTTCCGGAGACCTCAACTATGGCGTCTCTCATAATCATGTATTGATTTTGGTAAGTTAAACCCCAATTCGTTACTGCAGTCATCGCTCACAGGTAGGCGTATTTTCGAGTTATGCCCAAGTTCGTCGCCTTTACTTACGTGATCACTCCCTTGCTCCGGAATGCCACCTAGACTCGCAGCGATGTACTGCCAACATTTTCCACTTGAATATCCGCGTCTAGTGTTGAGGTTAACAGTGCAACTTATGTGAACGTGTCTTCTTTTAACCCGGGAATTCCATGGACGACGCGAACCGCGACTGAAAACCAAGCTTGTAGTAGTTGCTGGGCTACGGCCATTACGACCAGACTACTGCCGCATCATCAGCGCGTTTTCACCGCTCTAAAAAGTGACAGACAAACAAGCTTGATGCAGTCGCAGCGGGCACGCCGTCCATGAAATCGGGAACATCGCTCGAACTGCCTGTCGTAGACGCAAAACCAGAGCGTGATGAACCATCAACAGTAGATCCCACGAAACCGTAGCGCACGAGAGGAAAATAAACAAAGCATCGCAACACTACTAAACAACTGCGGTGACGTCTGAACATGGGCGTAAGGCAGGAACGTGCAAGGGGGCTATTAACACCTCCCAAAAAACACCAAATTTTCCCAACCACGATGCACCACGGGTTCGCACTCCTCACTGCCAAATCCCGTCGAAGCCCATGTTTCACTTCAACGAGGAAAGAGCGTCGTAACTATCCATCGATTAGAACGACGACACGCTGTGATGGAAGCTGATTTCCTACTATGTATGCTCTTCACCTATCCGCAGCATGGTGGAGTAGTTGTGGCCGTCCAGCGACTTGCAGGCCTTCGTTTGCGTGACGTGACCTGTCGAAAGCACCACTAGCTGACGATGTCACCGTGTGTCATAGAAGGCAGCATATCGGTGTAGCATCTTTACCGATGCAAAGCTTGTACGGTTGGATGTATACCATTGCACGTTTCTATTTTCGCTCGGTACCACACTAGTCAGTCCCACAAGCTGTTCGAAGTACGACGGGCAAAGCACTCGCAGGCTTCATTTCGCCATATCGCATGAATGACCCCGACAAGCTCGCAACCAGCGGTAAGCTGCACGCGCCGCCTGACTAGCTTGGCTCAATGTTGACAAACAACAGTTGCTTACTTTTCCAGCCAGAAATGACGTCACGTGCAACCCATGTATATATACATTGCCTCTGGTAACACGCTCACAAACTCTGCGTTCGCATATTCACAATATCCCCCCCCCCTTCCTTTTTTTTTTGCATCGTTAGTTCAACGAGGTATTGTATACGGAAGATTTTCGCGTCCAGCTCTGTGCACCTCCGCCCACATGGACCCGTCACATGGCTCCCTTGATCAACCACTACCTTTTCATTACCACAACCACGTCGTGCCGTGAAGTCGAGGAAGACTCGGCTCAGCGGTACGAGCAGCGCGTCCCGTGTAGCCGCATTCGCAGCCTCTCTGTTCCTGTTCGCCTCGTCGCCTCTCTCTCAGCCGGCAAAACAACGGACATCCAGCGGCGTGCCGCCGACACCACGGCTGACTGGCTGGCGGCGGGCCTTTCGGCTTGTATACTATGTACACAAGCGTGCTCGCTATGGCATGCGGACGTTCACTTCCTCTAAGAAGGAAGTGCATGTCCTTCGTCGCCCTTTCCTCTGTCTAGAAAAGAGCCGCCTCGTCTTCGTCGCTGAGGCCTACATTTCCTCGCCGCCTCTTCCTAGTTCATGCCCTATTATGACGGTCTGCCGCAATCCCTGCGCCGACGACGCCGAGACCTGTCTGCAGGAACGGTCCTGGAAGAACAGCGCCGGAGGGAGGTGCGGAAGAAAGTCTCGCAGAGCGCCGTTGCCGGGGGAGAACAGGAGATTTCTAAAAACGAAAGCGAACGCTCTCGGCGGGGCTGAGCGTCGTTCTAGATTTTCCCTCTCGCTTTGCGAGAGCCAAGTGCCCGATGGACTGTTAGAAACCGACTACCGCCCTACCGACGATGGCTGAACAGGTCCACTCTTAGACTGCTTGCAGACAGATAGGTGGATTCGGAGACGCCGCCCAGGCAACAACCCTTTGCTGATGCCTGCGTGGCCATGGCTGATCCTTTGCTGCAAACCTGCATACTGATGATGGTGCCTGCTGCTGTATGTGCTGCTCTATGCCGACTGGACTTGGTTTACTTCATTGTCATCACGATCCGTGGCGACGTGGTGCTCGCGATTTCTGGATGACAGGTAGAGTACACCAAACCGGCAACCAACCATCTATATTTTGTGTTGTCGGTCACCTGTCTGCCCGTCTTTCCGCTTTCCTGTAGTAATTTGTTCTTTTAATTACGTGCCTGTCTCCGCAGTTCTTGTTTATCCATTTGGCATAGAACTTTCCTCGGTTAAGAAAAGAAGGAAGAAAACGGACTGATAGCCAGGGCTTGGTGGGCGTGAAGTAAAGATTTGACACGGCGAAATGAACCTGTCAGGATTAAACATGCAGGGATGACGTCGGTTGATTTTACATGGTAACACCTGTACAGCGGAACCGAAGGAAATGATACGCGAGGGATGAGTTTTTCGCACGTAGTGGTGTCCGGTCCGTTACCTTCAAGGAAAACCTCCTCCAGTGACCGACACAATCTCACGGCTGTTTAGGATCGTTCAAGGTTCACCGTCGCTAAGCACCGCTTTCCCATAACAGTGACCTGAACACGTCTTTCTGAGATGTGCACAGTTTCTAATCGGTCCCTCCATTTATTCTCTGTGGGTCGAATTATGCTTGTTTGTCGTATATTCGTCTCAGTTTTTGTTGTTGTTGTTTTCTATGCACAGCGAGGACATATGGTTGTTCGGTATTTGTGCCAAGAATCGCTCAAGTTCTCACAGCCAAATTTTACGATGCTACACGTGACAGAACATGACAAGTTGGTTTCTCTCTCTTTATTCGGCTTCTGTAATGTCCTGCAATGATCCGCGTGAGCTCTTAATTGAATATAAATTTCTGTCATAAACGCGATATGCGCGATATGCGCGATAGACGTTCCAGTGTGGTGATTGGTCCAATAGACGTTGATTTTTATTTATGAGTCCTCAATTACTGCAACAGAAAACAAAAAAACAGTGAATCGTTTCGAAGGCATTGCGAATGTCGACCCTAGCTGAAGCTCGTTCATTAGTTTCCTTCAATCTGTTTTTGCAGCACTCCTCGTGGTGTGACCCCCACGCCTTAATTTTTCCCATCATATCCCTCTCTCAAACCTTTTCAAGCACGACCACAACAGAGCGATGTTTTCGGCTTGTTCTTCTAAATAAGTGGGTGCGTTATCTTCCCTGGCACGACGGAAGTGATGACGCGCAAAAGGCACTTGTGGGTTGCGCAAGCACAATTTCGTCTGGGGCACATCCTGTGCACTACATTCTTTGGCTTGATCATGCACAGTCGGCCATTGCTCTTGCCACCTTTCGCATTGGGATTCTCGCCATCGCCTTGTCCAATGCGTTTTGCTGCCACAGGACGGGGTCAGTTGCCCGCAACGCGAATTTGAACACGAGAACATGTATTACGGTTGGTTTGTCGGCCAGCATGCGCAATTAGTCCTGTATGTACGCAATTTATTTCGTCAACTCCTCCTCGCGATGCCACATGGCCGGCTGCAAGCCGACCTTGGCCACTCTGGCTGTCCCTCGGTTTCACTCTTCGCCATCTTCCTCCCATTTCCTTGTTTTTGCATGTTTTTTTTGTTTTTTTGTCGCCATGTTTGTCGTCACAAAGAGTGCAAGCTCAGTCGGGCCACGCTCAACGACTGCGCTTGCGGTAGCGAACACACCAACCGGACCGACCATTTAGCGGGTGTCTCATTGTTTCATTTTTTCTCTACTCTTTTTTTTTGCTCGCACAATGGCTTCGCGAAGACGACAGCGACGACGTCATGCGGCACCTTGAGTGCGGCCAGTCCCTCTCCCCTGCGAGCCACCCAAGCACGCACACTTTTCTCTCGTCCAGCTTTTAAAACGAATACCGTGCGAGGACGCGTCGCGCAGTCCATCTGCCCTTGTCTGTGTGGCTGAGGTGACGACCAAATAAGACACTCGACCGGCGGAAGCCTACGCGAACGCCAGGAATAATGCGACCGCTAGAGCTGTGAGTATACACTGCGGATATCCTTTCATATTACGCGTGCTCGGTCGAAGCGCTCTCCGTGACACCGGCAAGTAGCTAGTCAACTGCGATAGCTTGCATATTGGAACACTGTTACACAAGCGGGAAATTGACGGGCGTAGTGTGTGCGGCGAGTCTGTGGAATGAAGAAATGGCCCGTGACGGACTCCGTTGAGTTGGCTTCGTTGGCGCGTCACGTATGGTGTCAGCCACTCAGTAGTTTGCCAAAGCTGAAATCAAACAATTCAGCTCTTCGGGTCACCAGATATTGGGAGGAGGCGACCGCCGAGCGGCCGAGGCTTTCGGCAAGCGAGAGCGACAGTTCTATTCACTCTCGCTACCTTAGGCTAGTAAGCTTAGATCGTGCTGCACAGAATTCACCATTATGGAGTGTTGTCAGAATACAAGAAATCTATACTGTACCCGTGGGGGACCGGAGTTGTGACTCGTGGAGAACCATCAATATAGTTAAAAGTTGGGTACGATGGTTTTCACATATGGTGTCAATACATGAAGGGTAAACTGTTGGCGCAAACTTAGACAACAGGGTGGGCGTTGTATGTGCTTCTTGGTATACTAAAAGCCTTCTGCTCCATCAGTTCTACAGACTACTCAAGGAGGACAATCATGAATTTCATACATGATCGTGGAGAAATGTGTGCCAACCTCAATGCTTAATACTCATTGCGAATTACCACGCTTTAAGTATGAACTGCATTTAGTTAATCACCAGACAATTTCGACAAGATGAGACTGAAAGATAACAGTGCGCGAAGCTTTAGTTCTTGAGTAGCAAGGGCATGCCATAGCTCCTTGGCTTAAGCACCATTCAAGCGGTCATGGCGAGAACAGAAATGGTGAAGAGGGCAGCTGCATAGTCGCGCCCGCATGCAGAGCCACTGGAGTAGCCAGGGGGTGGGGGTGGGGGGTGTTCGGGAGGTTCTCCCCTACCCCATGCTTCTGACGATTCTCCGTTTTGCACGTGTACATATACACGCATTCATACAAGCACACGCATTGGCATGCATAAAGTATGACTACTTCTCCCCCCCCCCCCCTCTGAAAAAAATTGGCTATGCTACTCGGCACAGGATGAACACACCACCACTACACGCCTTCTAGTGCGTCCGCGAAGCGCGCTCCTTATCTTGCCAATCTAAACTCGCTCTCATTTGTTCAATCTTTCACACTGTTCATTATATGTTCCGTGAAAGACGCATTGGGGTGACCACAACTATTCAGGGCTTCTTTAGTTTTTTCGAGTGCGGCAACTAAAAATACGCGAAGATACACTCAAAAATACACTTTAAAATTCTAAGTACTTTCAAGTTTTTTTTTATTTGTTCCTACTGCGCTTAGTGAAGAAGTTGTATATCTCTCACGTGCATGTACAAATGTTTGTATGCACGCAACTAAGCTGATCTTTCTGCAAGTCTGCCGCAACCAGTTTTCAGAAACGTGGCATTCGCCTTGTTTGAGGGAAAGTAGCTGCAGCATTGACCGCGTTAAGAAAAAAGTAAAAGGCCAGACAGAATTTGCCGATGCTGTTGCGTATTTCTTTGTAAACACGTGCAAGGACAGAGCAACTTCGGCGAAAGCTACACTTTTTCTAAGCCTAAGGGCGGGAACAGTCATAGCAGAGGCTCGCAATGCTGCGCACTTACAATGCCAGCGTGTGAGTTCACCGTCCATGTCTACGAAGGACAACCTATCGATACGCACCGTGTCCACTCTAATGCGAATCGCCATAGGTGATCGGCGGCCGTCCGCCTTTCTTTGCAATCACCTTGTTTCAAGCAGCAGCGAAAGTCAATGAAAGTTGATTGGCATGTGGGGTTTAAGGTCCCAGAATCACCATATAATTATGAGAGACGCCTTAGTGGAGGGCTCCGTAAATCTTGACTACCTGGGGTTCTTTTAGGCCCGTGTGCTCAGATTCGGGCGCACGTTAGTCAATGCGAGTGGGTCGATTAATGAATGTGGCAAACGGAGTTACTAGATAATCTCGTGACGATGGTAAATAAAAACGAACTCGCAGAGGTGGCGGAAAAATAAAACGCGTGCCAGCGAATGGAGAGCGACGGTGCATGCGAGGCATATTCGCACGAAATCGATTCCGGTGCAGATAAAGTGTGGTGGCGATTGGACTGCCGCCGCCGGGTGAAAAGTGCGTGGTGGCGGGAACGGCTGTGATGCTTGGCTCAAGGACTCGGTGTAACTTGGAAGGGGTTGCCACCGTTTACACGGCGGGGTTAGAGGCATCTCAAGGAGAAGGCGACGATAGGAATCGCTTGCAGCGACGTGCTCCGGATCTGGTGCCATGGCATACAAATCCCAGCTTGCTCTTTGTTTGCCAGACGTGAAGACGGTGCGTGGTTGAGCGCCGCCGAAGTTGCACGCTGCTCGAACCCGCTTCCGATTTCCATCGCCCCTCTACGGCGGCAACGTCGTGGTCAGACTTACTCTCTGCTTCTTGCACTGACAACGTTGAGCGCATCTCGGCTTCTGGACGCTGTCGGGGGGCGCCTGCATCTGGTTCACCGAAGACTCTCTTGTTGGAAGGTTGGTTGCGGGCTGTCCCTGCAGGTAGGGCGCTATCCTTTTGACATTTGTACTTCGGGGTTTCTATGAATATATTTTCTCCGCTTTCTGGACTATTGAATTCTACTTTTCTGTACATTGCAAATGCTTTTTTTCATTGCTTTTTTTATTTCATTGCTTTTTAAACAGTAATCTCTCTTCTGCGTACATGCAGACTATAAGGTTTGGCCGCCCGCGCTCTATAGCGACAGCAAACAGTTTAGTTTCAGCGACATCCAACGTTCCGACGTAACTGACAACAGGGTGTGTAGTCTCGATGATAGTTCTTAATTCAGTGCGTGTGGATTGTCTTTCCACGTTAACGGTCAACGTAACGCGTCTTGCCAGCTGAAAATGACTATGTGGCTAATTTTTTTTCTGTTATGCACACAATTAACGGTGACATGCAATACTACTTGTATTGCTCATTTTTGGGTGCACGTTAAAGAACCCCAGGTGGTCGAAATTTCCGGAGCCCTCCACTACGGCGTCTCTCATAATCATATCGTGGTTTTGGGACGTTAAACCACACAAATCAATCAAATACTACTTGTATTCGTTCATCGTGAATTTCTTTCGAGCAAAACAAACTTGGAGCCATTGGTATTGTGCGAGCGATCTCGCAAACGGTTATTATCTAATCCCTAGGATGCCTTTTCTGTCAACTTAGTTACCTTTTCCAACCTGCTGATTGAGGAGTTGAAAATAAAAGCAAGTTATCACGAACGCAGGTAATCGAGATAATATGGGCACGTGCAAGCTCTTTCTCGTTAAAATCGGTATGCCTAATCTTTATTGCGTGCCGTGTCCCTAGAGATTTACAAAGACAAAACAACAACAAGGTGCTGCTTTTTCATTGTCGTTCGCTGCCACCGCGTGACGTTTGAATGACGTACGCCCTCGTACAAATGGCGCCATTTGCTGGCTCCCTTACTGAATTATTTTTTTTTTTTTGTAATGGCTCGTGGCGTTATGAAATACTTGGAGGCCTTCGTAGCCCAGTGACGTATGGCGTTGCGCGTAATTTCGCCATTTTCTCGGGGCGAGGCGTTCCATTTCTTCTCGTCTTCGCTACGCCGCGTGACGCACGGGAGGTTTCCTTATCACCTCCTGCGAGCCTTCCCGTGGGAACGTCTCGCTGCTGTCTTGATTGTAACTACGCGAGTGTGCGCTGGCTTCAGCTTTGTCTCGTTGGAAGCGTGGGACACGGAGTCCTTTCAGCGTATCCCCCCCCCCCCGCAATCTATTCTCCTGAGTCTACTCGCAGCATAAGCTATACTTCATTTTCGGAGCTGCCTTCAAAGAACTCGTATAAAAAAAGGGGGGACATCTTCAAGGTTACATTTGCCGGCATCGTTACGAAGTAGTATAGCCTAAAGCTAAACTGTCCGGCTTGGCAAACAAGTGCCAATTTCAGGAGGAAAATATCAGTAGAGATAAATTCGTAGTTTATATATCTCATTTTGTATGGCAAAACAATTGGGTACAGCTGCGAAACAACCTCAGCAAGAAGTAGCATGGTCACAATGCAGAAGAGTACTCGTATTTCTGCGTTTGGTGTCCGATGCAACACAGGCAACGCGTTTTATGAGCGCATCTCCAAAGGTGATCGCAATTGCGCACGGCAGACAGCGTAAGGAGAAAGCTTTTCGCAACCTAGATAGCACTACTTGCGGAAAAGTTGAAAACATGGCGATAACTGGCGTTCGCCGAGACTGATGTATTAAAATTATCTAACTTTGACTTGGTATAGAAGTTTGAACTGTTCTAGCGTTTTTGGCCCTTGTAAGCCAACTACGGGTATTCGGCTGATCAAAACAGCAGTGATTTCGCAAATAGAGGTTAAAATCAGCTTCGTGTGCACAGCCTTCTTAAGCAATAAACCAATGAAAACTAGTTTTTTCAAGATATTGGGGTCGAAAACTCTCAACCCCCCCCCCCCCCACAAACAATATAAATGAAGCTCCTTGTCTGCCATGGCTGCTAGCAAGCAAATGTACTTACCTCTACACAATTACACACGTGCTGACGCTTCTGCAGCTGTTACGAGCATGTAAGCCGTATTGCGATTCTTTCAATAGTGCTTCCATTAAGAGACCGCTCATCTCGAACACGAATAACGGAATGAATTGCTGTTAGCGTTACTGCGTATATTTGTAAAGCGACCGGTTTTTTTTTTCCCCTTCAGCGCCCTAGCCTTCTTAGCCTCATTCAACGCCCTAGCCTCGAGCCTCATTAGATTGCAAGTTATAAGTGTGAAAACATAGGGACGTGCTGTTGGCTGCTCACTCTTCTGAAAATATTACGCGGATCTAATCGGGGCAGCACAGCGTACACGTTACAATTGCGATTAGCGACGAGCCAGCTGCCAAATTTCACCGCGTCGCATTTTTTCGCCTCAT